ACACATTTTGTGATTTTTATAATTTTGCTGTATATATAAAATATTTAATTTAATTTTCCGGATTCAGAAGAAAAAAAAAGAACCTCTCCATTTTCTGTTTTTTTTTTCACGAAGAAGAAGACCAAAGTTACAACAATGGCTGTTTATGGCGATAAGAAGCATTGGTGGCTCCGTAACAAAAAGGTTCCTCACTCTTCTTCTTCTTCCCCAAATGGGATCTAATCACAAATCCCAAATCGGATCTGAATCTTTGTGTTTTTTTTTTCCCAGATCGTTGATAAATACATGAAGGAAGCGAGGAATTTAATATCGAGTCAAGATCCAAACGACGTTAAATCGGCTTTAAATCTGATCGAATCTGCACTTTCTCTATCTCCACGTTACGAACTCGCTCTCGAACTCAAAGCTAGATCTCTTCTCTACCTTCGTAGATTCAATGACGTCGCCGATATGCTTCAGGATTACATCCCAAGCCTTAAATTAGCCTTTTCCGGCGAAGATTCCGGTATCGGTTCGTCGGAGATTTCTTCGTCTCGTGAATCGGTCAAACTTTTGAACGATTTACCGAGTCATTATGACTCGTCTTTTAAATGCTTCTCTGTCTCTGATTTGAAGAAGAAAGTTGTGGCAGGTCTTAGTAAAAACTGTAACGAACAAGGGCAATGGAGGTATTTCACATAGTTTCTTTTTCACCCGGATTCAAATAACCCGACCCGGTTTTGATTCGGATCTTTTTTTTTGGATTCTGTTACAGATATTTGGTGTTAGGTCAAGCTTGTTGCCATTTAGGTTTGATGGAGGATGCGATGGTTCTTCTCCAGACCGGCAAACGATTAGCCACAGCCGCGTTTCGCCGTCAAAGCATCTGTTTATCCGACGATAGTTTCATTCTATTCTCCTCCGGCGACGGAAATTCCTCTCCTCCTTCCTCCGTCGTCGTCTCGTCCTCATCTCAGCCACGATCTCTAACCGAATCAGAAAGCGTCGCTCACGTTTTATCTCACATAAAGCTTCTCTTACGACGCCGAGCAGCCGCACTCGCCGCTCTCGACGCCGGGCTTTACTCGGAATCAATCCGTCATTTCTCCAAAATTTTAGATAGCCGCCGTGGTGCTCCGAAAGGATTCGTCGCCGGTTGCTTTATGCACCGTGCCTCCGCTTACAGATCCGCCGGGAGAATCGCAGAATCAATCGCCGATTGTAACAAAACCTTAGCGTTAGATCCGTCGTGCCTCCAAGCATTGGAAACCAGAGCCGCGTTGCTCGAATCCGTTCGGTGTTTTCCAGATTCGCTTCACGATTTAGAACATTTGAAACTCCTCTACAATTCAATCTTACGTGACCGGAAATTACCAGGTCCGGTTTGGAAACGGCACAATGTCCGGTACAGAGAAATACCGGGGAAGCTATGCGTGTTGACGTCGAAAATCCAGCAGTTGAAGCAGAAAATCGCAAACGGAGAGATTGGAAACGTCGATTACTACGCTCTGATGGGAATCAAACGCGATTGTTCGAGATCAGAGCTTGATCGAGCTTACTTGCTACTCAATTTAAAACATAAACCGGAGAGATCAATGTCGTTTATTGACCGGTTTGAGTTAACCGATGACGAAGAAGAATTAGACTCGGTTAAAGACCGAGCTAGAATGTCAACTCTGTTACTATACAGATTGATCCAGAAAGGTTACGCTGTCGTGACGAGTAATATCACGACGGAACAAGCAGCGGAGAAACAACGGAAATCGGTTGCGGCTGAAACGCCAATTAGAGCGGGGAATACGAATGTGGTGAAAGGAGTGTTTTGTAGAGATTTGACTGTGGTTGGGAGTTTGATAGCAAGGACCGGGTTTAATCAACCGATTCCGGTTAAATACGAAGCGCTTAGTTGCTGAATTTGGTTAAACCGGAGACGATGTGTTTGTTTTCTTTATTTTATTTTTAATGCATTTTGTACAAAAAGAAAACGACAGATCACATTGGATGAAATTATGGATAATAAGAATATTGTCTGCCCAAGAATTTTGGAGCTTTCTCTCTTGTTTTTCTTCTTTATTCTTCTCTCTCTGCCTAAACGACAAAAAAAATCCAAATCTTATTAAAAAAAATGAGAAATTTTAAGTTCAAAGTCCCAATTTACAAAAATACTACATTCTCAAAATTTTTACAAAATTACTATTTTTTCAAAATTACTTTTTTATTTTATCATTTATATTTGGGTTAGCTATAACATAAAATTCTAGAACAAAGAATATTAATCACAACAAGAAAAAGAATCCAAACCACTCTGATACTTCATCGTTGGCACTCAACCCAATATCATTGAGGGAAAGCTGTTGATATGCACCGCCGCATGAAGAATTATTCGGAAAAACGGAGAGCGAGGAAATTTAGCCGTTGAAACGGGAAAAACCTGCCCCAAGAACATCTTCGTAGTCTCCATACCTTCTAGAGCTTTATTCGTCCTTTAAAATACAAATCCATGGCGAAGATGACATATCAAATCGGAGCCAATAGAACCTTTGAAACTCCGAGGTATCACTAGATATCCGGAAAAGACCCCAGACAACCCTAACCTCCAGAGAAGCTCAAAAGATACAATCAAGCTATTGACTTGAAGTCCACCTGCACCCTTCCCCATATCCTTTACCAGACAAGCCCAGACTACTCGCCATCACTACAAAGAAAACCGACAACTATCCAACCATACGATTTATGACCAGAGGATCCCCAACACCACTACTACAACATCTAATACTAACGGACCAAGGATACTACTAAGACAGAGCTCGGAAAAGCAGAAACAAACCCGACTTAGAAGATGATAGGCCGAAACCACGAGCCAGAATAGAAGCCCATAAAACCGGCCCATATCTCAAGCCCAAACCCCAACAGCCCGAGCCCAATACAAAACTCTCCCATCCAGATCTGAGATCTTCGACCAGCCGGAGGAAGCCGCTACCACCTTTCGCATATCTCTGATAGATTGGAACCCAACTTTTGTG